CAAATTATTACCTATATTTGTATCATTAATTACTTTATAATATATATATATTTCAAATATAATATTTCATTTAATAAGTAAACATTTATTTCTCTTTACATAAAATTAATTAATCAACATAATTACATACATGTAAATGTAAATGCTAAATAAATAATATTTTTATAATATACTAGACATAGATCTTACCTACATAATAAGCACGTTAATCAATTATCCAATTAGTAAAAAATGTAGTGATTACCATGATAACTGTAGTACCATTAATGTCTACTTTTCGATTTATTTTTAAGAAAAAAGTGTGTAACATTATTTTAATATAATAATTACTTATGCTCGAAAAATAATTTTAATATTTATTTTTGATCATTACACCCAAGAGTGGATTTAGGGGAAGAATTTAGGTCAAATGATCCACAGTTAATATTTGTTGACAAAATTGACTTTTAGAAAACTTATTATTTTTTTTTTAACTGTGACTGAAGTTGAAGTTATTACTAAACTGGGAAAAATACTCCAATTGCCACCCTTCAAATGACTTGACTCGTTCAATTGTATAGTATAGTAAAACATATCTATGCCGAACCTTATGTAAGACCGAATTCTCCATAAAATAAAATAAATGTTAATGTTTTCAATAATAACTATAAAGTAACTTAAAAACACATGTTACATTATCATACGAGTACTGTGTTTTTTTTTGTTACAAGGTATATATTTATAATCCAGTTTCAACTATAATAAATGGTCTCTTGAAATAGACTGATCCAGAGTTAGAGAACTGTATATTTGACCATAAACCATTAAAATTATCTTCTTTTTAAGTGAAAATGTAAATAACCACAACAATAAATTTTAGACCTATATAATTATTCACGCATGTTCGCAAACAGAGTTCGTATGTAACAAATCGGCGAACTTGTAACATTCTAACGAATAGACTAGCGATCCGCTTGCTGCCGGTATTTCGACGTAATATCTTAGGATGTTACACGAACATGTGACGATCTACAAACATTTTCATGAACACACAAAAATAAAATATCAGTTTTTATTTTTATAGTTATTATTTAATGTTTTACGAAAAACACGCAAACATATATTTTTGTTGTAGGGTGAACAGTTTGTCAAACAGTTCGTCGAACATGTAGGTGAACAATTTGCCGTTTCGTTACGCTAGTATTGACCTGGCTTTACAAAGAATAAATTACATAGAAATGTGACATAAGCTAGTTGTTGCACATTTTTGAAGATAGATTGTGAAATGAAATGGTTAATTATAAAAAATACACATCAAAATATTATCTTCTGTAATTCATTACATAAACAAATTCTTGGCGTGAAAAAATTAGACAACTTTAGGATATGCATGGCGAATATTGTATGTTTCACTAACTCACAATGTCGGACCAAGAGTGATAAATATTGATACAATCAAGGTAACATACTGAAGTGTAAACAAATATCAATTTTATTATTTTGTTGAAAAATATATCAATCAAAAATTGTATTTTTCGTTTTCCAAATGTGTGTATAATTGTATAGTAATTTTTCTGCAAATTAATTGTTTTTAAATCATCGACTCTTTTGACTCCATGGCCGTATGATCAGTTAATTTATTCTTTAACTTCATTAAAATCAGTATAGGTACTATAATCTTACATCGTGTATTGATTTGAAAAATACTAGAAGTATAACTTCTTAATTAATTGTATATATATTGTAAGTATATCTAACCAGTACATTGTCTCGCATAGTATTTGATATCTCGAATAAGCGATGAAAAATACCTCTAGAAGTCATGTCACGAAATGCGTGTACCAAGTAACTATAATATAATTATAAGCTATTAAATTTACATTTGTAAATTATCATTACACTTACGTGCATTGAACACTGTACGGCTTATACTTTTTATATTTATTGCCAAATTGATTGATCACAGTTGTTTACAAACATTTTTGAATTCAAATGGTAGCTGAAGAATTGTTTTAGCTGCCGATATAGTGAACACGTTACATTTTCAATTTTTTCTAATAATAAAAAAGGTCAGAACTGTAAACTGTACAAGCGTCATGCTAGTGTGAACTGATTTCCTGTGCGAATTCGTGAACCAGAAACCGTCACTCAGTGGTCCGGCGCGAACAGCACTTATTTCTAAATAGGTAACTGGCAAATTCAAGATCACAATCTGGGTTACGCGATCAGCGTTACTCGCAGCTTATCGTATAAATCTAAGATAAAAACCCATTTCAATTGATTAAAATGCAAGCATAAAGTAAGCACGTTCAAAGCATTACTTCGGGAGAGGGCTGATAAAAAACATATACTATTAAATTCTCTATTACCTATAAACCTATATACTCGTATTATTATGAATAAATGTAATCAATCATTTAAAAACCCTATCGAATTCAATTTCTGAATAATTTATAATATACATAGTATAGAGATTAGAAAATTAATGTTAATAGCAAAAATGACCCGGGTCTCTTTAAATCAAAACGAGACTCAATCTCAGATAAAAAATAAAATATATTTTCAATGAAATTATAAAGTCCAATAAGTATAAATTATCGATTAAATTAAAAGGAGCAGTGGTAACTTTCGGTCTATCTGTAAACTAATTAACTAGTTCAATATACTTATGATATTTATTTTTTATTGATTACAATTTAAAAGTGTTAAAGGTTTGTGTATATTTTAGTCGATGTAGACCAAAAAACCTAACACAATCACATTTAGGTAAACATATAATTCGAACCGAAAGCAAAATTAGGTGATCTGCGGCTTTATCTAACGTCCTGGTTTAAATCAATACAATAATTAAATGAAATTCATAATTTACCATTCGTAGTATGAATATTTGTTCAGTGCTACAACAGTAATGTTACGACACTAATTTTTATGACTAAGCGTACTGCTTGTTAATTGTTGGATACGGACAAAAAAAAAAATTAACTCGAGTGATTAACTACTTAATTTAATAAAATTATATAATTTTTTTATTTACGAAAATGTAACCTGACGATGTTGACAATACAGTAGATTACTCTCATTAAAGTCTATACGGATGAATACAATAGTATACACAAAAAAAAAAAAAAAAAAAAATTTACTAAAAATTAATTTGTGACCACCGTGTGAAACCCATACGATTAGTGTTTTAACCTTTTCTGTAGCAACACACAAAGTGGCTCGTATGAAATGGATCTTTGGAGATAAAACTACAATGGAGAGATTGATGGTTGAATATGATTAAAAGATTCAGTATTATGTAGATAACATATATTAGCGTAGGCGTACGTTATGTGACGTATTATTGAAAATCCTTTGTCAAGTATAGGCTAACAAAAGTGGTACTACTGATAATAATAATTAATGACAAATATATAAAATATAATTTAATAAACAGCGAATATTGAATATATAAAAACAATAATACTGTTAATTTGCATATAATTTATTAATACCATAGTGAACCATCATAAGAAAAAAACTAAACGTTTTGACGACCACTTAAATTATAAAAAACATATCTTTAATTGTAATATTCTTAAAAAAGGATAAAATTCGTGTTATAACGATCCAAACATTCTAAATTCCGTTGTACAAAAACATATATGTGTAGTAATTATGCCAAACGTTTATCTGTTTTAAAGTTGAGGTATTTGGTATTGATTGTAATTATAATTTGAATATTATTAATTTCAACTGAGAATTAGAAAAAGTTAACTAAATGCATAAACTATAATTATTGGAATGCTATAGGTATAAATAGTATACATTATAATTATCATTTAAGTTTGATTTTATATTTTATATAGTTTGATATTCTTTTGATAAAAAATCGTATAACAAATAACTTTTATTAGTTGTTTTAACTATAGGTATATTACAAAAAATTCTAATTAGAAAATAATATTTTTAAATTAATTTATCTATATTCAATATTGGCTGCTATAGTAACAACATACCGAAACGAATAGAAACTTTGTCGTACTACATCATCAGATCAAAAAGCTTAATCTCACCAACCTTAATCGTACTTAGCATAGTTTCACTAGTAAATTTCAAACTTAGTCAAGTCACAACGTGATAAATTAATTTAAGCCTGAAATTAATGTAGAATAAAAATATTTAGTACCTACATTAATTAGTTTTCGAACATTTATTTAATTGTTTATAATGTTCTATTTTAATAAATTTTTCATTACGTTTCCAGTAATAGAAGTAGGTATATTGTGTTAATGTAAATAACTTTGATACAATTGATTATCTATGAATAAATAAATCATTAATTATTTTTAATGAACTTATTTACTATTTTTTTAGTACTTAACGATGTTAAGGACTCATGATGTACCTGACTAAAAATTAATTTATTCTCTCAAATCTAATGGTAAATATGGTCATATTTTATTGTATTAAAGTATTAAAACAAGAATTAGACGTAAAAAGTGTAATAATAATGAGCCTTAAATCATTATTAAGATAAATTTAATCTTCAGTCAGTCACATTAGTTGACTGATCGATCTTATATTGTTATGATTTTTAGCATTTTAGTTATTACGCAACAACTTATATACGTTCTCTGGTAGAATTTCAAATTTAATTTCTTTCCAAAACACTGCTTAATATTCACTTATCGAAATCACTGAATAACATCTTGAAAGTTTATAGTGTTTTGTGTGTCATAGTCAGTATAAACCCTTAACAACCAATACAAGTTACTTATATACGCATATATCATTTTTTAAAACCAAATTTACTATTCATAATCAAAAAAAGAAAAATATACATGTTTTTTTGCTAATTTCAATAATTAGCCTATAGTCTTACGTAACTTAAAAAAATAACGATCTTGTCAGTCAACTATTGTAAGACATGAATATATAACTGAAATTAATACCATAGGTTATAGATATAAGTAATATGAATTAAGATATATTCATCCAATTACAATTTCATTACAATTTAAAAAAATTTAACAATCCAATAAAATGAAAATTCTTGAAAGTAAAATATTTAATTTAATAAGACAAATATATAGTATATTTGTATAGTAGATACAGTGAATATAATACTTGGATATCTACTATGTTTATTTAGTAGTCTGGCCGAAAGTTTTGCAGATTTTAGTATTCAATTGAGCTGTAATATTGTCAAAAAATGCTTTGGTTAAAACCTTTTCATTGTCACCCGTAAGTTTTGCATCGTATTTCATATTTGACTGGTTGATTGTCACCTCAGACTTGCATTCGGTAGTTTTGAGCATGTTGAAAGATATGTTGGCATCGATTCGGCCGACAGTAAATGTTGCTTTTCCTATGGTAGGTTTACTCTCTTCAAGCTTAAAATCAGTTTTACCATTTAAACTATGGATCGTCACCCGTAAATCAGTGGTCAACGTGTTAACAGCAATTTTCGCAGTGATCTTCTTCAATTTAATTTCAGTATTACTAAGGCCACTAATAATCGTGTTACTGAAACTATATCCTGTGGTGCCGGTAGGTAGTTTTCCGTTGACACCCGGGAAATTAAAAACCGTATCGTTTTGGAAGATGACATACTTCGAGACGGACTGACGTATAGCCGAAGTGATGTTTTTGTGGGTGTCCTTGAGAATACGGTCGGCAACATTTTGGAATATTATGTCTTCCACAAAGTGCCTACGATAAAAATAAAATATTATTGTGTTAAATGTATTTGCTATAAACTTGTTTTTTCAATGCAGTTCAATAACTTCAATAGATATATAATTACAAAATTATATTGGATATAATATATGTATATATACATATGAAATATACATGTGAAATAATTAAATAATATTATTGATATAATAGAGAAATTCTAAAAGAAAAGTTTCATTTACTACGATCAGAAATACTGTTATGATAGTATTTACGTAAAAATTAGTATACCAAGATGGTGATGATTATATAAAAAAGATTCAGGCCCGCATGTTACATCAGTATACATACAATCATCAATATACATCGAATCACCTGTAAAATTTGAAGATTTTATTACTCTAGAGTCTATTAGGATGGACAAATTACATTGTATTCAGTAGTTTTTATAATTATTATGTAAATTTTTAGTAGAGAAAATATTTTACATTTTAAATGACGAAATATATAGCTATTTATAAATTGCATATTGTTATTTCAATGAAAAAATAAATCATGATATTATATAATAATATGGTATCACTAATATATATATATATACTTAATATTTTTATACTTTCGATTTTACTTATTTTAAAATAATGAAAACAAATTTATTCTAAAATTATTGCTATGTAATACCTTTTATTTACTAAACAATATATTTTACAAATCTTATATATATATAAAAATAAGTGTACATTTTGAATAAATTTTATAACTCAAGATCTACCAAACCGATTCAATAAACCAAATTCGATAAAAATTTCAAGGAATATTAAGATTGATATGTAAGTGGTTTCTGTGAAGTTTTTATGCTGTGCGATAAGTGGTTCCGGAGTTATGGGCTCTTAAGTGCACACCTGGCGACATGGCCAAAAACAACAACAAAATGTATGAAAAATGAAAAAACGTCTATATCTCGAAAACGGCTGCTCCAATTGCAAATTCCCCCCCACCCCCCCCCCCTACAACGCGTTTTTTTTTTAGAAAATCCTGCGTTATTTAAAATTTATTTGATAAAGGTAAATTTTTGGTCCATACTAATAGAAAAAATCGATCCAACCTAATGTACAAACTCATACATACGCAAACCATATCATATTATAAAAAAATGTGTATGATACCATCATGCAAGCTAAACAAAATGAAGCCGGCAAATTTTACTTTTTGGATGCGCCCGGTGGTACGGGTAAAACCTTGTAATATCACTATTTTGGCAATTATTCGACCGCAAGGGAAAATTGCATTAGCACTTGCTTTGTCTGGAATAGCTGCTACTCTGTTGGATAGCGAACGAACAGCACACTTTGCATTAAAATTGCCGTTAAATGTGTAAATTTGTTTGTATTTATTGATCGATTGGCTTGAAATACATTTGCATTAATTAAGATGTAATTATTTTTAATGTACTACAGGTGATTGAGAATCGTGCAGTATATTAAGAAATTCTGCGATGACGAAAGTTTTGCAGCAAACAGCAATTATTTTATTGGATGAATGTATGATGACGCATAAAAAATCACTTAAAATATTGCAATACACCGCACGATGCAAGATCTACGTGTCAATCAAAACACTTTTGGTGGTGCATTGATATTATTGTCAGGTGATTTTAGGCAAACACTGCCCGTAATTCCACGCTCAACACCGGCAGATGAGATCAATGAGTGCCTAAAGTCTTCTTTCCTGTGAAGATATGAGTGAAAAATGACGCTAAACATAAACATGTGTATTCAGTTGCACAATGATCAATCTGCAGATCGTTTTTCGAAGCAATTGATGTAAATCGGAAATGGCAAAGTTCAAATTGATAACACAAACGATTTAATTAGTTTGCCAAATAATTTTTGTACAATTCTCCAATCAAAAGAAGATTTGATTGAAAGAGTGTTTCCGAATATTGTCCAGAATCACAGGAATCACAATTGGTTGAATGAACGCGCAATTCTGGCACCCAAAAAATATGCATGTCAATACTATCAATTATCTCATCCAAAAAAAAAATTGCCTGGTGCAATGACATCATACAAATCTGTTGATAGCGCATTGAATAAAGATGATGCAGTCAACTATCCAGCTGAGTTTTTGAATTCGTTGGAACTGCCCGGTATGTAACCACATTGCTTGAATTTAAAGGTCAGCTTATCAATTATTTTACTACGGAATTTGAATGCACCAAAAATGTGCAACGGCACAAAATTAGCTGTAAAAAGATTGATGCCGAAGCCACAATATTAACTGGCTCAGCGAAAGGGGAAGTTGTACTCATCCCACGTATTCCTCTAATACCAACAGACATGCCATTTGAATTCAAACGATTGCAATTCCCCGTGCCCCTATCATTCGCCATGTCCATCAATAAGACAGCACAAGGATAAACGCTCCAAGTATGCGGTTTGAATTTTGAGGAACCGTGTTTTTCACACGGGCAACTATACGTGGCCTGTTCAAGAGTTGACACTCCAAATTGTTTTTGTGTATGTCCCAAATAGACAAACAAAGAATATTGTTTACTCAAATGTATTGGATTGATAATAAAGAATTTGAAAAAAAATAAATGATATTTTAGGAAAAACTATATGATTTTTATTGCATTTTTGTTTTGGTGCTGTTTTTATTATAAAACTAACTCAAACTGTACAACCTACGTGCTATAATTTTCGTTTGAAAATTCACTTCGTTTATTTAAGGAATGTTGCTAGGGGACGGAAAAAATAAAGAAGGTAAATAATAAATATCTAATTTAAGAATTTCAATTAGCGAAAGCAATAACTATACACGAGCGAAGCCGGATTATTTAGCTAGTATTGTTGGTCTAAATAATTGTTTATATTATTACTTGACATTTGTAGAATCACTTGTCTTGGATAATTGTGGTAAGCCACCAGTAAATGACACTAGTATGTTCTTGTATGAAATACTAGACTTTGGTACCGTCGACGGATATGCTCCGGAATTTTCTGAAAGTGTGGTGCTAGCAAGATACGTCATATCTTTTAGTTGGATATGATATCTTCCTTGATCCAAATAGGTAGAGTTTATAAAGGTGTATCTTCCTCTAACACTTAATTCCTTCCATCCTATTTCTGTAACCACCTACATGAAACGATAAAAACAATAAAGATTAAAATATTAGAGTGAACATAATATAAGTTATTTTCATTTCAAAGATACTTTTCATTACTTTTCTTAAATTTTAATGAAAATATTAAAAATTCATTAATATGACAGATTTTATAAATCAAAGTTAATATAAAATATTATTTTAGTAAAAACAAATTATTATTTCAAAATGCATTATAAGAAATTTTGTTTTATTCGTGTTTATTTTTTGTTAACTATTCATATACAAATATTTTAATGAAAACAATTTGATTTAAAATACTTTTTCTAAAATGTATTACAAGTATATGTATTGATTTTATTTATGATCAAAAAAATGTATTCCAAAAGGTATACAAGAACAAGCAATGGCATAGCCAGAAAAATATTTTCAATTTTCTATTCTCTGATACATAAGTACCAATGTTTTAATTTTAATAAGTCGATTAAACATAAGTTATAATATAAAATGTGTAATTGTTTAGTTTATTGAAACTGAGTTTACAATCTTTGAAAAAATACACATAAATACAAACATATGCATAAAAGCAACTTATATTTAAAAATTAATATTTAATCTTCTTAAATGATTAGGAAGTTCTTTTAACAGGTCATCAGTTTTGATAATAATATCACAATGGTTGTATTATAATGCCAAACTATATCTATGTCTTTAAGTGATTGTATATTTTACAAAATAAAAGAGACATTTCGTGGAGGAATTTATAACCCGTTAAACCCCTCTGACTATGCCATTGAGAACAAGATCATATTTACCATTAGCCAGGATAGGCAATTTCCTAACCCTTACTTTATTAGAGGACCTCGGATTTTATGAACATTTTTATATTTTGTATACAAATATTTAACATTGTAATATTTTTTGTAAAAATTTAGAAGTAAATTTTAGTTATTAATTTGTTTTAAACAACCCATATTTAGAGAAGTGCGCTACTGTTGACAAAGGGCCACATGATTTATTTTACCTGAGGCTTTAAAATGCATCAATCAGGTCCTATTTAAGAATTAAAAAAGCGACTAAAACCGAGATTTAAGTGTTTTTCTTTCGAAGATAAGTTAAAAAAAACATATAGGTAGAAAAACAAATTACATTAAAGTCCTGTTGTATATAGATATGTACACCAAACTATAACTGCTTAAAACATGGGAAAAATCATAAATTTCAAGTGCTAACAAATATATCAAATTTCATTAAACTATTCTAAAATAATGAAATTTCTTTATAATTCAAATTTAATTATTATAATAATTAATATAATAACTAAAAATATCGCAAATTTTCGTGATTTTTCACAAGTTTTAAGAAAATTTAATTTTCAAATGTTCATATCTTATATTTTTTTTATTAAGCTCAATATTTTTTTTTAAATTATTTTGCAGAAACTATACATGAGGAACTTTGAATCAAATTTTCAAGACTTTTTTTTTAAAAGAAAATTATCTAATCGATATCTTACAAAAAAAAAAAAAAAAAATAGCTAAAAAAAAGTTAAAATAATTGAAAATTTTGCTATTGGCGATAAAAGTATTTGGTGAAAATTTCTAGTCTCTACGGTTATTTTTTTTCAGTTTCAATGAAAACAAAATTTTGATTTTGAAGAATACCGGTATGCTATATATTTTGCAGTTTCTTGAAATTTTTGGTCAGTTTTTCATAATTATTGGAAAAACTATAAGAAATTTTTTAAGATGAACCTTTTTTAAGGAGCAAAAATACATCGAGGTCTATCTTTTTATTTTATGATTATGATAATTAGAGAACTACAACTTGACGATATCGAATACACAGATACAAAAGGAAAAAACCTAGATCACATGGTAAAACCAATCTTTTTTTGTTTCACTCAGAATCTAAAAAAAAATTGTTAGTGTAGTGATGTGTAAAATAAAACGAGGTTTAACAATTCGGTTTTGATTTCAAATTATATTACTGAAAAATTAAAATTTTAATTAACATTTTTTAAGTCTACTTTGCATAAGTTACAAAAGACTCGAAAGTTAGATAGGTATCTAAAAAATAATCAAGAAAAATAATACATTTATGGAGTATAAAGAATGAAAGAAATCAGTGAGGTACCTACCCTTTTTATATTTATACACAATTATATTGAAAACAAATCAATAGCTACCTGATCTGGAACCCATTTGATGATTATGATGTTCTTATTATATCCAATAAATCCTCTAATGGCATTGTTGTAAAATACAACATCAGATTGAGGATTAGAAGTTCTTGTATTAGGAATAGGCATTTCATCCTTAAAGTACGCATAAGGAGATTCTGAATCCAACAAATTTCCATTGTACTCAGAAATCACTTTAAGTTGATTTTCATATCCTTGAAACACAGCCTTTTGAATTTCATCATCAGTTTTACCCATTAATTTTTTTGGTAATTTTTCTGGCAATGTGTCATCATCAGACGACCAATTTGCTTGTATAGAAACATTATCTGTTAACGTTTAAGAATTTGTAAGGAAATACTTGCGATTGATTGGTTTAAACAAATTATATTATTAAATATTATACAATGTTCAATATAATAAATTTACCTGCAGTAAATGCAGATGAAATACTGAATACCAGAGCCAATATTGCAATAGTTCTTTTCATTTTGATATTTTTACTTCTACAAAATTCGTAATAAACACTTGTTTAGTCTTTTAAATTTTTATATTGTAATATACATAATTTATAGATAACATTTATTTCTCAAATAGATAAAACTCAACAATCAGCATTCATATACATATCATCATTAAACTAATGATGTGTTTTTAATTCAACGTTTCAATATATTTATAATTATACGTAACTAATTAAATAAAGAGTAACAATTTTAAATTAATTTCAAAATAATATACGAAAATTTTTCGATTAGGTTACACTTACGATAGCGACAAACTTTTATAATTAATTAAAAAATAACAAATTATGGTGAAATCGATAAATACCGAGCGTCTTATCGGAAATCAGAATAACATATAATTTTTAATTAAAATTACGTAATAAATGTTAAATACTATAAATCATTTTATCTAAAGAATATAATACTTTTTTCACAAGTCACGGTTTGATTTTAGACGGTTTTCTTTAATAATTAACTTCAATATTTAACATAAACTTTTGCCATTATAAAGTGTTTGTTATTTAATACTGAAATAATTTACCTATATAATTCTAATAGAAATTACAAATGGAAATATTTTAATTAAAAAATCTGCCTCATAAAACAGGTTAGGCTGCTCATTGCCACTGAAGTCTATTCATACATAAAAGTGATAATTTATATCAACAAATGTTTCATAAATAGTATTCACTCTTAGTAAATATTATAATTCATGTTTAGTAGATATTTAAATATATTTAGAATTATTGTGTGCTTGAATATATGACGTGTATATTTAAGAACAACAATTAATTTCATTCTTATTCGTAATTATTATAGAATTATAACATTTATTGACATTTTTAATTCAAATTAAATATTTATTGAATATAATAACAATTCTATAGGAGTGAAAAAGTAAATTAATAGATCATTTTGATGTATCTGATAATAAATAATAACTAAAACGATAATACATGCCATTAATATACATTGGAATGACTAATGACCTATCAAAATATACCTATGTAAATGATAATCTTAATTTAGTTAATCTTAAAACCACTAGTCATAATATGCATATTATAGTAATATTATTACATAAATGTAGTTTACCTTAAAAACAAATTGGGAAGGAAATCAAATTATATAGAAAGATAAACGTTTATATATAATATTATTCATTACTATATATATAATACATTTAATAATCAATCTTATAATTTAATTAAATACAAATGAATTGTAAGTAGTTGTAATAAAATATTCGTAGCACCCGACCTTCAAAGACGTACTGAACAAAATACAAGATATATATATATATATTTTTATTTTTTTTTTACAATAAGTAATATAACATATTTACGAGTCATGGTGCAATGAAAGAAGTGGGTACCCCGTGACACAACTCCAATTGGAAATACTTACTTTATATAATTTGAAATTATATAATTTTTGTAATTTTTTTTATGTATTTAATAGGTCTCGTGGACAGATTCGTTTTATACAACGGGGTGTGTTATTAGAAAGTATGAGTATTAAGAAATAACAACTGAATATTTTTTTTCAGTATTTCTTTTATATTAAAAAAAAATTAAAACAATTGAAAATGACCTGTCTAAAATACTACCTGTGTTTGAACTAAAGCTATGCAAAGAAAGATATTAATAACTATAAATGGAAAATTATGGACATTTTAGGTGTAGATTAACTACTTGAAAGTGTTAATAAAATGTATTAAAATTAAAAAATGTAATGTTTATGGTTTCTTTTTATGGATTGTTAATTTTTAATCTTTTATTTGTCGCATAAAATGCAATCTTTATTTAATTAATGCATGGATTGGAATTCGAAGGAAATAAAAATAAAAAATGTAGGATATATGTAACGTTCACAGTCATCAACTATAAAACGTATCTAAGCAGTGGTGATCAGTTGGTTTACTATTTTATTTTAATAACAATTTAAGAAATGTTTATTTAATATTTCAATTGAATACAGACTTACAATAAACTCTGATGTTAAATAATCTCGCAACTAAACTATGTTATACAATTGTAAATTTTTTATTGATATCCTGTTAAAATCAATTTTAAGAAAATCATTAGTATAATTAACAGTAGATAGGTCGATCATATGGTATTGCTTTCATTATATTTGAATTTTAAGTATTAAAAAGCTTTGTTTAAACGAGATATCTACCAACATACAGTATATGGTACGTGCCGAATATTATTGTAACAACTGGATATCCATTAGCAGTTTGATTTTCGAATGATGAATATGATTATATATAATCGAATATGATTATACATAAATTTCTACCAATTGTGTAGGTAACTACTTCAAGATATAAATGATGAAAATCCATGGGTTAGATATTGCTCATAATTGATCTAAACATCACATATTGAAAAAAGTACTTCGACGTTTAATTGATAATATATTAAGTAGGTAGGTACACTATTTCCCATAACATTATTTGGTTGAAAATAAGTTTTTACGACCAAAAACGAGAAAACTCTGGTAACATTTTTCAAAAGATTAAATCGAAGTCAGCCATTGATGATGTCGTTTAGATAATATTTTAAAAGAACTAAGTCACTAAGAGATAAAATATTTAATAATAGTTCGGGAAAAATGAGCAAACAAATTAATTAATAGATGTTCACCGCTATATTAATAATATAATGTATATTATATTATAATAATACCGATTTATGCGGACTATTTTCAATTTTTATTTATACAAAAGTAATATTTTATCAAACCACATTCTTACATACACGTTTTGGAAAATATCACTTAATCGGTGTACATACACGGGGAGTAGAACCGCAGATACGTACACAATATACTCGTACATTATTATTGTACGCGGACAACGAATATCATAATATAAAAACTAAATGTTAGCTAAACATAAATAACTACCTATACTAGCAAGACGAAATTATGTTCAAGAAGTATAAAAAAGGTCATTTTAGAACGACACTTTGGAATCCTATTTGGACACTATTGCGGCACCGTGCACATAGTTGTTAAACAGTAAGGAGTGGATTTGTAAAAAAAAAAAAATTAATAATATTTTTTTTTCGTTACGCCCACGATTTCGTTTAAACTCTAAAATTACCTATTTATTGACAAGGAATGACAACGAGTAATTTGTCCGTTTGACTGTGTGATGTGGGAAATCCGTACACGTTCTGTCTTAGTCTATAACAGGACTAAAGTCTAAAAAATGAGTTTAAATTGCAAAAAAAAAAATAAAATAATTTAAAAAAATTATTCTTCGGTGACTATGATCCCTATACCATTTTCAGGGTTTCATACATCTATCTATATCCTATTCATTCGATTACTAATTAGTAATATACGTACTTCTGTAATAATATATGATGTAAAAATAAGTCGTAAGTAATTTATAAGTAATAATAAGCAGTCTCAAAGTATTCCCTGACGAGTCACCCTTGCCCCCTCCTATAAATTTTAACCCTACATCCGAGATCAGAGTGAGTTCGCGGCAATCGGTATAATGACCACGTAAAGATGTGTCGTTTGCGAGCAAACAGATCTTATTGAACGGGTCACACTTTTGAACGAACCTTGTGATCGTAAAAATATAAAGTCGTTAATTCATTTAATTTCGTTTTGTTCGCATATAGACTGTTGTTACAGCGTAGTTATCATTTCAATAACATTTTACAAATCGCGTAATTCAGTTATGATTTTATCACGAAATAGATTGAATGCGTTTCATTTGCATTCCAAAATCAAAATAAAATTAATTCTGTTCGTTTAAGCGTACGAAATTTTACGGAACGAATGAAAACGATTGATCCAATAGATCTTTGTCCGGTTCTATGTAGTAGTTATTATGTTTTAGTTCCATGAAAATAACGATATGAACCAAACATGTTTTGAATGACCGTTCCGAACAAATCCAAACGAACGGAATCGATCAAATGACTCGTTTTGTCCCAACATACCGCGCTTAGCGAACGGCGTGCGTACGAGCAGACAAAAACGTCGACAAGCGGACAGAAGGGAACGAGGGGACGCTCGCGGCCATCGATGCGTTCTATTTATATCGGGGGAAACGGTTAACCGACGACTCGTCGGTCCAGTCGTGCCGGATGGCGCGCGATAATTATACCGGCGGAGGAAGAGATAGTAAATGCGTCCATCCCGAGAACCGGACGTACGCGAATCCGTGAACTCCCCCGGACGACGGGAACGCGTCTCTAACGTCTGGACGACCGACGGCAAGAAATAATACGAAATCCCGACAGTGACGGTACACGCGCGCGAGAGTGGCACCTCTGTAAGGTGTACGGATTTCCGCGGCGATTCGCTCCATTTTCGGCCGTCCACCCGCCTCCGGCCTACCGCGCTCGTTTCCGCTACGGGGGCCCACCAGTCATTTTGCGCCTCGTCGTTCCGACATCGCACCGTGTACCAAGTCGAATCCAAAATGGCTACTATTGCCCAATAGTGTGAAACGTTATTAACCGTTAAAAGTTATAATAATATATCGTCGCTTCTCCGAGAACTCGCAAACGTACAATTACACAAGCAAAAGCTCACACGCGTACGTAAGCTCACGAACTGCACTAAGAGACCGCGGCCCTGTGCCACCATTTCCCAGCCTTACAGGTTTATCGTCACTTGGTGAATATCATTTCTCTATCCGCGCGCCCACATCGCGTGTTCTAACACTGTTGCTCTTGTAACTGTTCTAGTTTCCTTTTATTTATCCGCCGTTGGAATGGCTCCGAAAAGAAAAGCAGCACCGAAGACCAAAGTTGCTGCCGAGCCCGAAACGCTACCGGACCTGTCCGGCATCACGATCAGGCGAACCTTGAAGAACGGTAAGAATCGTATCCGTCGCACCTTCGAATTTTTTCTACCATTTGTGCCGATTTCCCCCACTCCCCAGTTCTCCCGTTTCTCAACGTTATTCGCCCATATATGGCGCGACCGTCTTGAGCAGTTTTTTACCGATTGTTTGTCGCAATGAAAGTTGAGTTCACGGTCATATTAGAGTCCCTATATTATCATTGAGCACAGTTTGAGAATCGTGTTAATATATGTGTGTTTTCTTATTATTGGTCAAATCTTATTACTATTCTTAATATTAACTGCTGCACTTGTTGAGATGTACACATTGATGGTACAAATTTATGATATCTATTATGGGCCATAATATACCTAAATGCCAAAAAAATTTTCATTAAAATATTTTGGTACTATCATTGAAGTTTTACCCATTAATTTATATACATATCTTATATTAAAAGAAAAATATTCTATGTCCAATCTAGGTATACTTTTTATTTTTTGTGAGGTTTCAGCATTGATGCTATTATAATATCTCAACAAGGCTAGTAAGGCTCTATTACAATTTTTAAACACCCCTTTGTGTTTATCATGTGATAAGGTTTCTGTGATTTTTCTCTCGAGGTGGTCACTCCATTCAGAATGTAAAACCGTTCGTGGCCAGGATTTAACCGGCACCTATTCTTTAATAGACAATTACTATATACTTGTGCTTTGTTTCCCAACCATAATGCTAAGATGGCCTATAAATTTCCTTTGTTTGGGTGGACAACCTTAAAAAAAAAAATGTATGTTAAGTAAGTATTCTTTAATGTAATAACATTACAATTTTTTTATAATAATTTTGTTTTTAGAAATTTTATCATATACTTAAATGCAATACTGCAAAAACTGAATTCTGAGATACTCACATATATATATATATATATATATATATATTGATAACATTGATGACAATTTTCTTGTCATAAGTTTTTGAACAGTGATCCATCAAAAAAATTTTGCGACCTAATGTTGGGAAACACTGTACTAGTCGGCCATAACTTCCCCATGTACTTATATTACATTTTATGAGTTGAATTAATTTAATTTATCAACGTATTTATTAAATTCAGTATTGGTATTATTTAATGTGTTTTAAATTTACAAAAGATTAACATTTTCTCAAAATTGTAATCATCATCATAATAAAACCTTTAGTTTCTTAATATAATTATTAAAGTTAAATACTTGTATAAATTTATAATTAACAATTATAATTTTATAACTTAAATATTTGAAAAAAAAAATAAACATTTATCAAACTACTCCCGCAGTTTAGTTTTATCTAGTTTTGTAAATAAAATTTATCTTGGTCGATTACGTATTTCATGACACATTTAATCATAATATTTAATTAAATTATATTATTTAATTTAAATAAGTAAATTTAATGTTTTTTATATCTATAACAAAATTTAATTGTTATCGTAGTTTGGTAATCTAATTAATTGTGATGATGCACCGTTAAAACAAAATTGATGATTCAAGCCTTTATAAAATTCTTACATTTTGTATTCTATTAATGTCAATTCTTAGTAAATGTTATCATGACTTTAAATAGGAGTATTTTAACTTAAATTTTTATTTTTTATGTACATAATTAATATTATATATTATTTATGTAGCTATAAATCACAAAATAATGTATAAAGTAATTCTTCTTATTTCCTAAATAATAATTTATAATTGTGACATAAGTTCATAAATTTTGATCAATTTTAAGTTAATAAATTATCTTCTCTGTATCCAACAATCTAATTTGATTTTATTCTCATTTCTTTGAATACGATTTTTCCCAATATTCGCTAATTCTCATAACCAAAATTCACTGTTTATTTATTTCTAAATACATTTGTACATAAGAATTGTTTTAACTAAAAACTTAAATAAATTAAAATTAGATTAAATTTATTAATTTAAAATGCATTACTTTTTGGTTATTAAAGAACTGAATGCAATACATTGAATATTCTTAAAATTTCAACTTAAGCATTATAATCTATTGACTAAAACATGCACAATATGAATTAATTAAATATTATTACTGTAAATTATAAATATTTTAAGTATTTCTATTTTTTCTTGGCTGTATGTAGAAAGATTTTATTTCTGTATGTATTTTGCCTGTTTAGAATCTTTGGTAAATTTAATAAGTTTTTGGGCCTAATAACATATTTAATTTTTAAAAAATTAAACAATATTTGCATGAAAATTTGTTGGACTGAAATAATTACAAATAGGACATGTGTCAGAATTGATATTACAAAACTTGAAATTTCTGCCTTAAAAAGTTGTTAAATTAAAGTTATACCTTTAATTAATAACTTTTAGCTTAGCTATTTATTTTGTTTAATAGATATATATATTAAACTGTAATGTGATTTAATTTTATGAAATACAATTGATTTTAAAAATGATGTGTTTTATTAGCTATTATAAGTACATAAAGAAAATAAATTATGTTAAACTATTAATTTTCAGATTATGAGATGAATTGACAGTATAATTTTTATATTAAATTTTTTTAAATTTGATTTATTATCAAAATTAAAGTTCTTTGCTGTTTATTTATTTATTTTGCTATTATTTATTATTGTATTTTTAAAAAATTAAATTAATATTTACTTACCTGTTATTTGTGTCAAATTAAGTTTAAGAAAATATATTGAAATTGGTTGTTTATCAAAAAATAACTTGAATGAAGATAGATAGTTTTAATTTCATTTTTTAAATATCTGTAGCCTGGAGAATCTATTATAAATACCAGTTATCTACTTCATTTATTGTAATTATTGCTAATGCTTGTTTAATAATATGAAGTATATTGACTATAAAATATTTAAGAGGGGATTAAGACCTTGTTCTCATTTTGTTTATTTCAAGGAATACAATTTTGAATAATATATACTATATTCATTTTAATTTAAATGTAAAATAATTTATGAATATAAGTAAATAAAAAAATTTAAAAAAATAAGATTTTATGTAACAAAAATATTTAAAATAAAGTAGTTACTAGTAGCACAATTAGAAAATGACCAAAGTTATTTTGTATATATATCTGTTATATGTAATATTGAATTATAACTTCAAAATAATATAAAATTAAAAAAATTATATTATTTATATCTACAATATTCTTTAACAAAACTGTTTTGTATAATTGTGGTATAAATTATTAAATAATATTAAAATAAACAAAATGCAGTTTTATTAATATTCTGTTATTAAAGTAATAGTTACATTTTTGAAAAATTTGAATGAATTTTGAACTTGATTTATATTTAAAATGCCAAAAAAAGACATTAACATCGATCATTGCAATGTAAAAATATTGATATAAATAATTAACATTGATTAAATGTTTGATTCTTTATTTTTAAAATTTTTTATTTTTAGTCCTTAACTTATTATTCGAATAAGTATTTTAAAATATCTAAAAAGATTATTACTAAATTTCAATTTTCTTAGTTTCTAATAAATATATTTTATATTTCAATAAAGAAACATTGGTGTCAAAATAACTTTCCTTAATATTTATTTAAAATTTCTTTGTATTCATTTCTTAGTACTTAATTAGAGTAAAATATAAATAACAATTTTCATATAATCACTTGTTGAATCAAAAATATATAAGTAATATATCTAGTTATGATACAATAATTAATTAATAATTCTATTTATAATTTTAGATGATACAAAGAAAGATGAAGAATCAGAATTATCTATTGAAAATTTGAATTCTACTGTATTAATTGAAAAAATGAAAGATTTTTCAAATCCTGCTGAAATAATTGAATCAGATAATTCTGGTAATCAATTGATGGAAGAGGAGCCTAAAAAAATATCAGTAAAAAAGACAGCTATCAAAGGAAAATCCAAGCTCTCTAAAGATGTAAAGGAAGATGTGAGGATTTTAAGAGGCCGAACTAGAGCATCTAGTGTTGATAGACAACCTATTTTTACAGCTTTAGAAAAAAAAACTGTGGGTAAAAGTAGAAAAAGACGTGTTGATAAAGATATATCTCCGGATGCATCTGATATGTCAAAACCTATAGTATCCAATAAAGTAACTAAAAGAAACCGTAGAGCAGCTAGTGTTGACATATTGTCAACAGAAATTTCAAAAACATCTGAAGATACTATTGTAACTAAAGATAGACAACAGACAAACAAAAAAAATGTTGTTAAAGAAATTGAATCGAAATCGCCAGACACTTCAGAGCATAAAGAATTTGATAACAAATCTAAAAAAAAAATTAAAAAAAATGATGAAAAAAAACAGTTATTAACTCAAGAAAATAATGCTAATTCACACGATGCGTTACCACAGGAAACTAAACCCAAACGAAATGCTAAAAAAGATCAAATTGACGTAAGAAAATAATTAAATTGTAACATTTTTAATCCTAACTGATTAATATAGTGTTTAGAATACATAAATTTCTTAACTGAAACATTTTAAAGTATTACTGAATTCTGTATATGAAGTTGTGTTCATGCTAAAAAGTACCACTAAATATTTCAGTTTGATGACCTTGTATTTAAATGAGGTTTTCGTGGAATGAAAGGGAGTTACGATATACACACTTTAAGCCAAATTTCAAATTTTTGACCCGGATGGTATATCAATTTTAATTTTCATGTATTAAATTGAACAAAATTAAAATTTTATCTATACCATATATATTGTTCGTAAATATAAAACTTAACATACTACCATTTTGCCAATTTTATAATTTGAAAAATAATTTTTTTACGAAAATTGTTTTAAAAAAAATACACTACTTGAATATGTAGAAAAAATATGGTGTTCTTATCCCATTTCAATACAAGGTCATCAAACTGAAATATTTAGTGGTACCTCTTAGCATGAATACACTATATATATAAAATATATTTTGATAGCAAAATTTTTTTCATAAACTTAATTTATTATATATATTCATATTAATATTAGTATAGTTTGAAAGTAAATCTTAAACTTTATTCTTAAAGTTGAAATATACATTCAGGTTTCTTAATTTTTTTCTAATGTTAGTGAGAAACATTTTCCAGTTTTTCAATTTTATTTAAATATAGCTTTGAACCTATTTTTTTAAATTTTTGATTATTTAAAATAGATTTATATTTGGTTCTAAAGGAAACTCATATTAAGAGCAGTTTGCAATTATTTTTTCTCAAATAAAAATTCTATAAAAAATGTTTACTTTTAAATGTTATTATATTTTATATTCAAGTTACGCTTTTGTGTAAATACACAATATAATTTTTATTCAAATTCAATCAACTAATATACTAAATTATTTTATAAATTTTTTTTTATGAATTATTTTCTTTAAAACTATTATGTCATGAAAAAATATGTTTTGAGTAAGTAAAATTTGTTTTTTTTTAATATTAATTCCATTTTACAGAAACAAGAGCAAAATAATAAAGAACTGACTACAAAAAAAACTGGTAGAAACCGTAAAGCTCCGAAGGTCAAACAGATTGATGATTTAGAAAAAGAACTTATCTTACAAAAACAAAATTCACCAACTGAAGAAGCGATTAGAAATAATAATTCAGATGATAGTGAAATATTACTTGATTCTCCAGAACAAAATTGTTTAGAGCCAATTACCAAGAAATCAAGTAAAACCCAAAAAGCTTCAAAAGTAAAACAGATTGATGAAGTAAATAGAGAATTAATCATAAAAAAACAAAAGTCTCCACCTAAAGAGGAATTGATCTTAAAAAAACAAAAATCACCACCCAAGGAGGAATTAATCATAAAAAAACAAAAGTCACCACCCAAAGAGGAATTAATCTTAAAAAAACCAAACTCATCACCTAATGAGGAATCCATTAAAAATATTAATTCAGGTGATTCTGATGTTATACTTGAAACACCTGAAATCAAGCCGAAAAAAGGGGTAAAAAAAGTAAAAACTAATGGTGAACAAAAAGATGCTTTAGATAAACCGAAAATATCAAAACGGGGTCGAAAAAATAAAAATGAAATTTCGGAAGAACCACTTAATTGCACTCCACCTAATGACAATGATGTGGAAGATAAAACTGATATTATACTTCCCGACACTCCCGAGTCAGATAAAACTGACATCAAGCCTATGGTGAAGCGCAAAACTAAAGCTAAGCTTGCTAAAAAGTAAATATTAAATTAAAAAATAAGATCATTTTTTAAATGTTAATTAATTCAAGTTTATTATATTTATTTTTTTTTTTTTTTTTTTTGTTAATATTTAAGATTTTACATAAGGTATTTTACATTTGAATATAAAATTCATTAAACATGTTGATATATATTTTATTTCAATGGGATTTTTGATGCTATTTCCCAGCACCCATCTATCCGTTTAACCTTTTCACCTTTAGCAGCCAATATTTCTTCAATGTTTTTGCATCCTGTGTCTGGAAACCATCCCAAGTTATCAGCAATCAAATGGTTGTTCTTGCATCCATCGCATTCTACTATCACAATACCTTTTTCATATGAAACTTTAGAAAACCTTCGACTATTTCTAGTATTGCACACCTTGCAAGTAAATGTTATTTGCATTTTACCACTAGTTTCATTTTTTGGTTGTTTCTCGCCTTGAGTGGATGGTAAGCTACTATAATATCGGGTGATACTGCTACTGACCAATGAAGCCGATGTACTAGGGTTAATTCTTGATGGATAACGTAACGTAATGCATCTGTGAAGTCTAAAAGTATTTGTATTTTTAATCACATTAGTAAAACGAATTAATTTAAAACAAATCATGGTTACAACAATAAACTATAAAGTCCTATACGGAGACCGTTAACTGAAACTTATTGATAATGTATAATCACAGAATATTCCGTGATAAGAACATGATGTAGATAATACGGTGTAGACACTCCAATATAATCCATAGCTGTGATAGTGTGTCCAATTTTCCGGCACATTGTTCAGATTTTGTCCACCAGGTAAGGCTAAGAAGGGTGATTTTATATGCTGTTTATAGAATATATTTATGTTGGTGTAAAATCAATACATTATTTATGATAACAAAATACAAAGTTCATTTGGTATTGGTTAAAAATGTATATGCGAAGCTTTCAATCTATATACTTGTGCGTTTTCATTGTATACAATACCTATTGCTAACAGCAGGTAGTCAAGTTCCAAACACCATAAAAAACTGATTTATATTACATTGTAGACTATTTATTACATTAAACAATTTATTAAAAATGTCTTGGCTAAATTCAATTAGAGGGTTTTTTACTCCTGATAATAATCCTAGTAGAGTCATTGAAGTAAAATCAGAAAAGTATTCTGACCGCAATGTCCACTGTCGATATGATCCTATTATGTTGTACCAAGCAGATAATAATAATACCAGTGAAATTGTCTTGCATTTATCACGTGCTGAGAGTTTAACTACATCTTACAGGTACATTATTTTATTATTTATTTGAAATAATTTGCAAATTAACCATTGGTTGAACAGTTTGTTCAGGAGTCCTGATATTTATGAATGTGAAATAAGATTTTTCATTCTCAAAGAAAAATTACCAGAAATACTTCGTATATCTAAAGATGTAAGTAATCTTTCATAAAATGTCGTAAATATTAATTATAATAATTATATTGGCATTATAGGGTTATAGTGTAACTATGATACAACAGTTATGTGATACTCTTGTTGAAAATCCATCATGGAATGAAGCTCATGTAGTTGTACGATTGGTAATGATTGATATTTTGTCCCATCCAAGCATTTTGAAGTATGTTTGCTATGACGTATACGAGTTAACAGCTTTATTTAATAGTACATACTTTGTGTTCTATTTTCAGGTTCTTAAATGTACCTGATGAATGTTATGGTATATCACCATTGCAGTTAGCTATTTATGACAATTCTTTTAATGTAGTTAAAGCTTTAATTGGCTTGGATGTTTCTTTGGAGCATTTAGATAATGAAGCAAACTCAGTTTTTCACTATGCCGCTAAATCTAGTAGTGACATAATTTTGGTAAAATTATAAGATAATTTAACATTAATTTACTCGTTTAATAATGTGAATATATTATAGGTCTTGTCTAAAGTGAGCACCAAATGTTTGAATTATCGTAATATAAATGGATTTACACCACTTCATTTAGCATGCCAAGCAGATAAACCGGATTGTGTCAAAGAGTTGTTGGTTTGTGGAGCAGATGTAAATATACCAGCAGGAATTCCTGAAAAAAATGTATCTGAAAACAAATTGCCTGGAATTGTAAAAGATTATCTTCAAGATAACCATAAAAAACTCTTTGTAGAAGTAAGGATAAAGTATTACATGCAATTATTTTAAAAGTATAATTTGGTATTTATACTACACTGCGATTTATTGGTAAATTAATTAAAAGGTGTATGTAATATAAATATTTATTTAAATACATTTTTTTTAACTTAAGAGTCAATGCGTAAGCTTTGATATTTAAAGTTTAAATTTAACCATTGAAGTCACAGACTCATTCAAATTGAATATTATATACTTACTATATATTTACATCAGATAGGTACTAACTACTATAGCCTATAGATACCATCTGCTAAGTGCTATCCTACAGTTTACGAATTAGGTATTATATATAGTTGTTATATGTATATATATAATAAATATAATAATTTTGAATATAGACCAATAATCAACTGTTATTGTTACATATTTTATTAGAATTTTTTTTTTTTTTTTAATTTTTTAATAAATATACTACATTACTTCTATGAAGAACTAGACATGATATGTGATACAACATTTAATCATTGTGTTAAAATAGTTCTTGGGGACTTCAGTGCGAATGTAGGAAAAGAGGAGGTATATATACCAATAATTGCTAATTAAGTATTATATGACAAATGGTATGGTCCTAAGTAGTAAATATTTCCCTAGAAAGGATAAGTAAACATGGGTTGCTTCAAACCAAGTGGTAAAAAATCAAATAGATCATATAATAATAAAAAATAGACACAAAAGGTGTATACAAAACATTAGAACCTTTAGGGGTACTGATGCAAATTCTGATCATTACTTAGTCATTGCAAAATTTATAATAAGACTATTGGTGCATTGGAGAGAAAATAAAGGAAAATTGTTGGAAAAATGTTGTACTGAAAAGTTTGCGGAAGAATGTGTCTTGAAATACCAAGGTTAAATAATGATGAAAATGTAGAAAATATATGAAAAAAGATAAAGACCACAGTGAAAAATAGTGCAAAGAACTGTCTAGGAATGAGAAAAAATAGTAAAAATAAAAACTGAAAAAATAAACTTATAGAAATAGTGTTAAAAAGTCTGGCAGATGAAAATTTAGAACGATAGAAAGCTAGCAAAATAGAAACTAACAAAATACTCAGGAAAGAAAAAAGACAAGAAGAATAGAGGAAGATTGAAGAAATTGAAAATATCAGATTTAACTCCAAAAAAATCTTTAGCAATAGCAGAAATATCAAACAAGGATATAAACAACAAACTAGGATGGTTAGAAATCAGACAGGAGACTTATTAACAAATGAAAAGGAATTAGCTGAAGAGTTTAAAAATGACTATACAATGTTACTTAATAAAACAGCTTTTGTCTGATGCGATCTATTTGTAATATAGTATGGCTGAGTCATGTATTAGTTATCCTTCATGAATTAAAGTCAATAGGAGTATAAGTAAACTTAAGAATAAAAGGCTCCAAGAGAAAGCAAGAATTAGTAGCAAAATTATTGAAAAATAATAGAAAAGCATTGAAAAACGAAATGTGGAAAATGATCAATCTTATTTGGGAAAAAGAAATAATTCCAGAAGAGTGTACTTATGGATATTATTTCCGGTGTTTAAAAAAGGAGACATATTGGATACAAAAAAAAACTATAGAAGAATTTCTTTATTATATACTCGTACATGCTATAAAGTATTATCAACAATTCTCTTAGAGCAGTTAACTCTATACGCTGAAGAGATTATAAAACGGTACAAATGTGCTTTAGAATAGGAAGATCAACTACAGATCCGGTATTAATCCTGAGACAAGTGATGAAGAAACATTACGAATTAGACAAAGACCTGGTACTGGTCGACTATAAACAGGCGTATGATAGTATAAATAGGGAAGAATTATGGAACACCTTGATCTGCTTTGGGATATCAAAAAAATATGTTATTATGGTAAAACTCTGCAATAATAAAACAAAATGTAAAGTGAAATTTCTGGGAGAATTGTCATCAGCCTATGAAGTAAACTCAGATTTATGGCGGCGAGATGTTTTATCTCCAACCCTATTATTTTAGGGCTTTAAAAGGTAGTATGATAATTAAATCATAATCATCAAGTGGAGGTGGTAAATAAAGATATAATATTGGCATATACAGATGATATTGTCATTTTAGGAAATTCCAGATAATGTTTAACCATTTGTTAGCCAATAAAAGGATGGAACTTTGTATAAACAAAGATATAACGTAATTTCTATTTTAAAGTATTAAAAAATCTTTTCCGTTCAAAAAAAAATTTTTCCTTATCCGTTTTAATGGTTACCCATGTCTCACACGTGTACAATTCTATGAGTCTAATTAAAACTTATTGTAATATTTATAAAAATGTATGTTTTTGCTATTTTTAGGATATGAAATTTGGAGGTACTCCTTTACATTGGTCGAGTTCTCGTGAAGTTATTGATAGCTTGATTGCTAATAATTGTGATATTAATGCATTAAATTTTGACAAGCGCACAGCTCTTCACATAATGGTAATAATAATAGTATTAAAAACATTTACAGTACAATAGATTTTTGTTATATGAAAATCAGTATCCACAATGTTTTGATACTTTTTTTTTTTTAATATATTTGAAATTATTATGAAGGATTACGATCTATGCATTGAGTACAATAAGTAATATAAATATTTTAAAAATAATTTACAGGTTTTATTATACACATGAGGAGGAAATCACACATTTGTGACATCCCTGAATATTATTTAGTACTTAATATTTTAGTAAGTCGCGGCACTAGTTCCTTTTGAGACGTCAATTTGGGTTAACAGGTAGTGTAAACTAATTCGTTGATCAGTTGGTTAGGATTATTTCACAACTTGAAGTGGAAGCGCTTGTAGAAGATAGCAGCAGTTTCATTGATGGATGGTAATTTGCGGTCAGAATTTTGTGACTCATTTGAGATAAACCCGAGTGCACCAGTGTTTACGCGTTGAAAGATGTTTTGAAAAGCTTGAATAGTTCTTTTATTTGAGTTATTTGCAGAGCCCCAGATTGTGATGCCATACATCCAGATTGGTTGAAGGAGAGTTTTATATAAGATGATTTTGTTGGATATAGTTAAGTTAGAACGAAGGAGTGGCCTTAAAATATGGAGTCTGGAATTTAGCTTTTTACGCTTATCCTTTAGATCAGAGGTTCTCAAATTGTGGGGCGCGATCCTCCGGAGGACCGCGAAAGCTTTATTTGGGGGGTGGAAGGGGGGCACAAGAAAATTTAAAAAATCAACATTGCATTGGTTGGACAGAAAAAGATTTGTGAAATTTCTGTAATTATAATCGCGTCCTGTATTGTATACAATTTGGTATATTTATACATCACATTCAGGCAGCAATAACCAACAAGAGCTATTATCTATAAAAGGTTAGTTGTTTTATGGATAAACTACTATTGGTCGTTATTCTATTTTTAAACATACACAGTTCTACGCGTTTAACTATGTGACAAGGTTGTGGTGGTATAACGTTGACAGTTTGATATTGTGTATGCTACCTTGTACGTGTAAGTACATCTTTGTAAATAAGTTTTGTTTATTTCGATTATTCTGGTATTAAACCTACTTGTTATTCCTAGTACATTTAATAATGAAAATATTTTTGATAAGTGATCAAACTAGTGCTTCAACATCAAGCAGCAGTAATAAAATTAAAAGGGATAACGTCAGTAGTGTAAACAGCGAGTTAGCCACCGGTACTTTAAGCCCAGTGTCGAACTCAAAATCTACAAAATTAAGAAGGTATGACGAAAACTATTTGTCTCTTGGATTTACTAAAACTAATATAAATAGTGAAAAACGGCCTCAGTGTGTAGTAAGTTTAATTATATTATCATCTGATAGCATGAAACCTAATAAATTAAAGAGGCATTTAGAAACAACACATGCTGAACTAGTTAATAAACCTAAAGAATTTTTTGCTCGGAAGCTTATCAGCTTTCAATCTACTCAACAGACATTTAAAAAAATTACAACTGTGCCTTCCAAAGCTTTTTTAGCGTCCTATAAAGTTGCTCATAGAATTGCCAAATGAAAAAACCTCACACATTAGGTGAAACTTTTATATTACTAGCAGCTGTTGATATTGTTTCTATAATGTTTGAAGACAATTTGGCTTAACAACTTAAATCCATACCTCTTTTCAATGACACTGTGTCACGGGGAATATCAAATATTTCGAAAGATCTCGATAAACAATTATTTGAAAAAATAAAAAATAACGTTTTTGTCCTTCAAGTTGATGAAGCGACTGATAAACATAGGCAATCTTATTTATTGGCTTATGTTAGATTTATTGATGATAAGGATATAAGAGAAGAAATACTTTTTTTGAGAGTCTTTAACCACCAATGCTACATAATAGTGTATTTTTGATATTATTGACAATTTTTTTTTAACAACATGATGCAATGGAAGAATTGCGTTGGTTTGTGCACGGATGGAACTAGGGATATGGCAGGCCAGTACAATGGACTTAAGGTTTAGTTAAAGCTGTTACCCCAAACCTCAAATGGACTCATTGCATCATTCATAGAGAAGTTCTAGCCTCAAAAGATTTGAGCCCCAACCTAAATGAAATTCTTTAAACTGTCGTTAAACAGTGATTTTAATAAAAGCACAGCCACTACAATCAAGGTTGTTTGAAGTTTTATGTGAAGAAATGAGCTTGAAGCATATAGCAGTGCCATTTCACACCGAAGCATGGTGGCTATCTCGGGGAAATGTTTTAAATAGAATATTTGAACTCAGAAATTAAGTATTTATGTTTTTTGAGAGATTGCAAAAAACCTTCAGCAGAGTTGTTCTGCGATACACAGTTCCTTTTGAAGCTAGCTTACCTTACAGATATTTTTTTCGAAAATAAATGTGTTGAATAAATCTCTACAAAAAGAAAAAACAAATATTCTTATTTGGGAAGAAAAGATACAAGGCTTTTTAAAAATTTATCACTGTGGGAGGAATTTTGAAAACACCGGACTTCATCGTTTTTCCGACGTTATTGAACATGGTGCAAGAAGACTGTGAGGAGATTCCTCAAGAACTAACAACATGTTTTGTAAATCATTTGTCAACTTAAAAAGAAAAATTAAAAGAATACTTTTATGAAAACCTGTAACCCATTTCTTTAGGTAAAACAACCATTTCAAATGCTGAAGGAAAATTGTTCGTTGAATTTGGCAAAACAAGAACAAGCTATTGATCTTCAATATGACGAGTTTTTGAAAGCTACATTTGAACAAGACAACTCATTTTCAAGATTCTGGGTAAGTGTAAAAGAAGAGTGCCCGATATTGTTTGAAAAAAGCCATGAGAATACTAGTCCCATTTGCAACTACGTATTTATGTGAAACAGGATTTTCTGCCCTAGCATCAACGAAGTCTAAATACCGTGGAAGACTAGATGTCAACAAAGAATTGATAATTGTTTTATCAAATATCTCTCCTCGTTTCACCAAACATTGTGATAAAAAATAAGCCCACCCATCACATTAAATTTGACCGATTGAGTAAAACCTTTTATAGAAAATACATAATATATAATAAATTTGTAATATGAATATCAATATTAGCCTATATTTGTTGTTAGTTTTAACTTTTTGTTAGTTTAAACATGACTATTAAAATTATTTTTATGAGAAGGGCTCACATCTGGGGTTGACCAAAAAGGGGGGCCTGGCCTGAAAAGTTTGAGAACCTCTGCTTTAGATGAATAGACCAAATCAAGCGCCTGTCAAGTATAAGACCAAGGTATTTAACTTCGGTTCAATTTGAGAATGTTAATATTGTTTATTGATACAGCTGGGAAGCTATGAGGTCGAAGTGCAAAAGTAACAAAGGAAAATTTGGATTCGTTAATTTATGTCTTCCAATTATTGAACCATTGTGAAAGAGTATTTAGGTGAGTTAGTAGTTGTTGAGATCCAACGATATGGTCTGAAGAAACTGATAATAAGGCGGTGTTATCAGCATATGTTCCAATTATAGTATCTTCATATATGAGCAGATCCTTCGTGTAAATGGTATGTAAGAATGGAGCGATATCACTGCTCTGAGGGACACCAGCAGGAATAGGAAATTGATTAAAATGTTTTAAGTTGTGACGTTCATTAAATGAGCGGTTTTCTAGATGATTTAAGTATTAGGTATAAAGGGGGGAGGAAATATTTTTTTAGTTAAAAAAGAAGACCGTCATACCAGACGGTATCAAATGCTTTGGCAAAATCTAAAAAGACTCCAGCACAGTATTTTTTGGTTTTGAGTGCTGATGAGTTGGTGTCCACAGGCGTGGATCTAGAACTAAAAATTGGGGGGGGGGGGGTCGTTTTTTTGAAAGGACAAAAAGATAATACGCAATTAAAACATAAAAATAAAAAGTAAATTATTAAGTAAAATTATATCTTTATTATTTATGGTTAATTTTTAAAATTAAATGACAAAGTTTAACCTTCTTTGTTTTTCTTTTCCAAATTTTGATATAATTTCATCAACATTCCCATGTTTGAGCGAAGCCACGTCTTAAGGCGCCTGAGAGTAGAGAAAGATCGCTCCGCTGTAGCTGCACTTAGAGGAAGTGTAGCGAGTATTTATAATAGAACATGAATATTTGGCTATAAATCTGTGTCATATTGTCTATTACCTGAGGTAGGGACTCAGGTAATTTATTACCATTTTGTAACCCAAAGCTGAAATTCCGACAATACCATGGATATATGAGGACCATGAAGAAGTTCATTGCATATTTTAACTGCTTCCCGTACGGCTACCAAATCAACTTCTAAGTACTCAGTTTTTGGTAAAAACACACCCAATTGAAATAATGACAGCACCTCTAGAGAAAGTCGTTATTTTTAATCTGTTATTATTGAATCTATGAGAAAAAGATATATATACTTCTGTGGAAAAATTTTTATGCAGATTGACCTGGCTGATTATTTTCTCTGTGTCTTCGTCTATGAACAATTCTTGGTACTCTTATCTCCACGTCTAACAGCTCGGAAATTTCTTCCGATTCCAAAAATAATTGCTAGAAAACAGAATCACTGTTCACTTTTGGTTCAGAACAAAAATAGTGTCTTTCATTGCATCGGTTGCCCTTTTTGAATCAATAGGCAAGGTCTGAAGAAAACGGCTAAGTGATACAGTTGTACCTAAAATGTACAATATTTAAATATTTGTAAATTAAATGAAGAAGTCATCACATTATTTACACAAATCTATAAATCATCACTTACCTAAGATATCGTTCAAGCATACAGAAGCAATAATGAATTCAGAACTACATAGAGCATGTAAGAGATATTGAGCAGCACTCGCAGTTTTGCTATCCTCCCAAGTTTTAATTCTGTGTAGGGCATTACACATTTTGACCAAGGTATCGCTTTAAAATTGTAAGTTTCCATCGTGCCTTTCAACCCAATGAGTTTCGCATATTCCTTGTACATTTATCCCTTGAAGCTCCTCTTCAAAGACTTTGTGTCCACTACACGGTGAAATTGATGAATTGTGGCATGAAGAAAACGGAAACTAAACGAAGCTTGGAATACTGTTATTCAATTGTGCAATAGTAGTAATGCGCTTGAGGATAACTTTTTCTAGAATTTTACCAAGAACCGGTAGAAGGCTAATGGGTCGGTACGAGGAGGGCTTTTCTGGAGGCTTACTAGGTTTGAGTGCAGTGACAATGGCTGATGATATCCAAGTAATTGAGAAGTAAGATAGGTGGAGGGCTGCATTATAAATATGTGATAGATGAACAATCATTCTCGTAGTGATATTTTTAACAACTTTGTTGGAAATCAGATCGTGACCCTGAGATTTGTTATTTGAAAGTTTTTTTTTTTTTATAATGCCTTCTATCTCCGCTGGGGAGGTTGGTTTTGCAGTAAGGGCCATTAGTAAAGTTGATTAATAAAGAGAATTCATAACTTTCGACATACGTAGTATTGGTATGAAAATAAGATGTTGTTTGAATACTCCTGATAATTCTTCGGCGAGAATATCAGCTTTTTCTTTATCTGAGAAAGCAAGCGAGTTATCTGGCCGGTGAATAGGAGGAGGGGAGACCTCAATCCGCAGTATTGACTTTGTTTTACGCCAGGGAGATCCGTTAAAAAATGAATAGTTTTGTATATGAATTTTGTTCAAGTTGGTTTTATGAGTTTTAAGTAGTGACTTTAGTTTATTGGAAAGAGAGTTGTACTTTATCTTATCTGTCGGGTAGTGAGTATGTTTCCATTTAGATCTGGCTCTGCTTTTTTCAATAATAAGTTGTCTTAATTCTGGTAATAGATTGAGTGTTTGAGAATAGGGTAGATTCTGGGTCAATGAGTCTATGGCTGCTTTTTGAATGTCATCAGAAAGTTGGAGAATTGCTTAGTCTACATCAGAAGTTGATTTTAATTTTATATTAAGGGTAGTTTAGTTTGAGATGATATCTTTGAATTTTTTCCAGTTTGTAGTGCCCGGAGTAATGGTTGGTCTATTTTTCTTCAAAGAGGGATAAGCTCCGATTAGTAGCAAGACAGGTGTATGATCAGAAACTGGGTCATTTAGCCTTATAACTTCAGTGGAAAAGCGATTTGGAAGATAGGTGATAAAGAAGTCAAGAGTGTCGAGATGACGGTTGCTATGTGATGGCCAATAGGTTGAAAAAAGGGACGCTATTACCTTAAGATGATAAAGCGAGATGAAATTTTGAAGGCGAGGCCTCTGGTGTTTGTTGACCGGCTCCAAGTTTGATATTTAGCATTAAAGTCAGCGCCAATAGTATGGATAAAGCTTAGAGATTGAGAAAGATTACTGAGTTTTGCTGGAGGGAAAGATTTTCCTGGGAGAAAATAGCACGAAGAGACGGAAATAGTTACGGAGTTTATTGTTATTGAAGTGCATGATCAATTTTATTGGAGACGAGGAGAGCAGCGCATTAGTATACAGTACCATTTGGAATATCAGTTCTGATAATATCAAATGCAAATATCTTGAATAAAGAGTTAGATGAGTTTCTGAAATAAGAGTTATTGCAACTTTTTTTTTTTTCGTTAAGAACTACTTGTAGTTTATTTAAATGTTGTAGGTTGCCGTTAGCATTCCATAAAAATATGGAGAGTGGTTTCAAGTTATTTGTTGGCATTATTTATGAGTTTAACGACGAATGTTGTGAGAAGTGATATAAGGGGGTTTATTAAAGCTTTGAATTAATTAATAAATAAGGAAAGTTGTGCAGTGATATTTTGGTTTTGGCTTGTGTCTTGAGTGTGAGAAGATGAGTCTTGATTTAATTAAGGGAAATGTTGTGTGTAAGCTCGATGCAAGGGTTCCTACGAACCTAAACATTCACTCCAAATGGTTAACGAGGAGGGAAACTTTTATTCAAGATATTTTTTGAAGAGTTCGGTAGTAATCTTTTTTTAAGATCCAGTTGAGATTTATAACTCCTAAAGTTATCCGGGTGATTTCCACCATATAGAGCGCATTTAGTCGGGGAGCTGTGATCCTTGGTACCTGTTGTTAACATAACAAGTACTTTTTTTTTTGAATATAATACATTGATTTATTTAAAAAAAAATGTAATATATAAATAATTAAGAATAAAAAATTACTAGTCTATCATTATAATATGTTATCATTATAACAGAAACATGAGCTGTAAATTATTTTTAAGTTTGTATTGAAGAAAAATTAGTTCCCCCCTCTCATGGTATCAACACAAATACGTCCTCGTGTTGGAGATAATAAGCGGTGGTGGAATAGTTTTAATAGTTGTGTTACGGGCAAAAGTCGAAATCGGGCAAACCTCAGAAATGCCCGGACAAAACGCGAACTGCCCACAATCCTTGGGCAAAATATCATATTTCGGCTTTTGATCGGGCAAACCTAGTTAACTAACTTCATTTGAGCAAAACCGCCAAAACCGTTTATTGACTTTTATCGTAAGGACAAAACCATAGAGTCTTAAATATGTATAAGGGAATTTTGTCATCACTTTATGCCAGAAACCAAATATTTCAATGCAAGGAACAATTTATTAGCAGCAATGATGAACCGAATATCGAAATACCACTGAGGACTGCTAGTATTCAAAATTCATTAACTGGAGGATAAGGGTTTACTTTTTATTCTTGCAAAACTAAGTGCACTACGAGACGATGTAAATGTAAAAAAAACAAAATATTTTGTGTGGTTCTAAATGCCATGGTTCTAATATGTGTAGCTACAAATAAACAAAAATATTATTTTTTTATTATTATTGAAGTGTATTCAATTACCTATATCTCTACAATATTTTATGATTATTATTTTTTTGTATTTAATATTAGTGAAGTTATTTAAAACGCTACAGTTTGGCTCATTTGAGGTTTAAATATATTAATTAAGTTTATTCAATTATATTTCTACAATAATATTTATTTTATAATTATTTGTACTTAATATTAGCGAACGTATTTAAGGCTCTACGGTTTTGCCCTAAACGATAAAAGTCAGTATACGGTTTTGACGATTTTGCTCAAATGAGATTGGTCATAACTAATTGTGCCCGGTCAAAGGCCGAAATATGACATTTTGCCCAAGGATTGTGGGCAGTTCGCGTTTTGCCCAGGCATTTCTGAGGTTCGCCCGATTTCGGCTTTTGCCCGTAACAGTTGCATTTTTTATATATTGGTGATTTGAAAATTTTGGTAATAGGCGTTGGTAGGCAATCAGAGTTCATAATTATTTAGATAAGCTAATTTATAGGTTTGCCTTGTGGAATGTTAAAATAATTTATTCATTACCGACCATACGAGTACCGCGACGAGCGCTGGACACGATATCGATACACACGCTATCGATAGCTGATTAAAGCGGAGCGTGTGACAACGTGTGAACCTTACGACGTCTAAACACGAACTAGTTTTGATACTTAGCTATAAATTATAATCTTCTTGAAATTATCCAAAAAAAATATCATTTGTACATCATTATGTCTTAAGCATATTTTATAAAATTTGAATTATTCAATTTTTTAAACAATAATTTGTTTTTCTTAAGATTCAACTATACTACCGTCGTCTGTATTTATGGTCTGTTCACTATCCTATAACCATGTTTTCTTTTAGGTTATAAGAAATAGATTTGATTGTGTAATGGGACTATTATGTAATGGAGCTAATGTAAACATAGCTGATGTAGATGGTAACACTCCAATGCATTTTGCAGTCAAAAATAATTTGATACCAATAATTCATGCTCTTATTGCATTTGAAGCCGACATTGATTATGTGTATGTACATTTTAGATTAAGAAATTAGCATGTTTTATGTTATATAATTTTTATTAATTTTTAGTAACAATAAAGGCATATCTCCAAGACATATTGCTGCTACAAATAATGGACCTGATAAAATTTCTGAAAAAATTATTTATATTTTGCATGCAGTTGGTGCCAAACGATGTCAAAATGTTTTATTGGAAACAGAATGTACTAATGGATGTGCTTGGAACAAAGAGTACAATGGTTTACCTCCTCAAAAACCTATATCAATGCCAGTATGTATCATACTGATCAAGTCATGTTTGTTTTTAAATAATTTTATCTTACTTTTGAAAAAGTTCACCATTAAAATATATTATACGAGTATATATAGTTCATTATATATAAATAATTCAAATTTTAAATCAAATTTATATCTATAGGTTAGATGTATTGTGACAGCTATGGAAGAACTTATGGAAGAGAGAATAGATGTCAATAAAAATTATCGAGGAGGCAGAGTCTTATCTCTTGATGGTGGTGGAATCAGAGGACTAGTGTTGATATCTGTCTTACTTCATATAGAAAATGCCACTAAAGTACCTATTATTCATTGTTTTGATTGGATATCAGGAACAAGTACCGGAGGGATTTTAGCTTTGGGACTTGCATGTGGTAATGCTTTTTTCTTTATAGGCATTGCAAAATATATTATAAGTTAAATGGTCTAATTTTTAAACAACATTTTAGGTAAATCATTGCACGAATGTTTGTGTTTATACTTCAGACTTAAACAGCTCGTATTTCAAGGAAGTAAACCTTATGCTAGTGAAGTATTGGAAAATATGTTGCAAGAAACATTGGGTGCAAATACTTATATGAGTGATATAAAGCATCCAAAGTAAGTTCTTTTGTTAAATAATTAATTGTAATCATTAATTTATTGAGTTGAGGAAAAAAAATCATAATTTTTATAGACTTTTAGTTACGGGTTTGTTAGCTGACAGAAAACCTGTAGATTTACATTTTTTTCGTAACTATACATCACCGAGTGACATGCTTAACTTAGATCATCCATGTGACTACCCACCTCCGCCACCTCCTAATGAGCAATTGGCATGGAAAGCAGCAAGAGCAAGTGGTGCTGCACCTTCATACTTCAGGTAATACTTGTTTTAACCATTTTACCAATTATTTTGTAATATTTATAATTACTTAATTTGTTCAGTTATTTCACTAATATAATTAATATTTAAAATATAGACTACGTCCAAATATACTTTTTTTCCTGATTTTTTTTTAAAAAATCGGTTTTATGTTTTTAAATAAAATATTAATCTTTGGTTTAGATTTAATTATTAAGTCAACTACGTACGATGTAATGAAAATTTAAATGTATTTTTATTTCCTCGGTATGACAATTTTTTTTGGCTGAAGCTAACAAATTTTTACAATTTCGGAATTTGATATTACCATTTGGAGTCCTTTGTAACCTTGAAGATAGCAAAATCACGTTTTCGCAGCTTTTTTAATTATCTACAGACATAAAATCGTCAACAGTGTGTTTTGTAATATTTTAAATTTGGACAACATTATTGATTGGGTAAGCGCAAGTGGCTATACACAAAATAAAATTACTGATTTTTTAAAATAATAAATATGTATACATAATTAAATAATGACTCATGTATGTATATATTAATTTTTACTAAATACATATATCTAACATATATGTTTGTAGGATAGTGTGAAATATAATAATAATTAAGAACACGGATCCGAGTAATATATTTTCCCTTTATTAATATTAACACGAACAACACAGCACAACACAACTCACGGCACGATCAAACACTGTGGCCATGGTTTTGATGAACAAAACAAATTATATTTATACTAATAATAAAACAAGAGGGTGGGGAAATCTTGCAGTCTTGGGAGAAACCCCACATGTATATAAATTCAGATGCATATGTAGTGTGTTGATTTACATTTTGAATTTTATTTTAAATCTTAATAAATTTTGTTTATTTAAATTTGTATTCACATTGGTTGGTTTTATGCTCTTGTTATAATTAAATTTCGATGTAACGAACTTTTGATGAACCAAAATTTTTCCTCGGTCCTTTGAAATTAATTATATCACGAATTGACTGTACATTGATATTTTCTCTTAATAATAAATACTTACTACAAAAGAAAATATGTAAATTAATATTATTATATTAAAGAAATTCAATTTTGACACCTTTCACTTTATATAATAGAAAACATAATCTTTGTTCTAAGTACTGAAATGTAATTAATATTATTTAAATAATTTATTTTGAATTGTTTGAAACGGTTTTATCTTTGAATATTGTTTAATTTTAATTACTTTTACTTTTTTTAATTTAATTTTAATTTTTTTTGTTTAGTTTGTTATGAGAAATTATTTTCAGAAACCAGATTATTGAAATGAAAACAAAGATATTTAGTTAATTTGTTAAATTATAACTTTTATGGTCTTTTTAAATTTGAATAAATGGTTTTATTTTTTTAAAATCAGTATTTAAATATTTTCAATATGTTTCTTTATAGGCATGTAACATAGAAAGAAAGAGATAGAATAGAATGAGAGAAAAATTATAATGTATCATTTCATGTTTTATTCTATTTTATTTTTTTTGTCTTACTTTAATTTTATAATATTAAGTCAATACTATTATATTATTTACACAAGATTTTTATACTGGTTTAAATTTTATATTCATCATATTTTATCATGATTTGAAGTAATTATTATTATTAGAGGTCTGGGTTTTATGATTTTACATATTTATTTCTAGTCTATGCAGTCAAATGGGAATGAGATATTTTTATGATTTGTGAAACACAGAATTAACAGAAAAAAATGTATTTTGCATAAAGAAGCATATTTTAGGGGTCAGGTAATATTCAATAGGTTGGAGAATATTTGAGAATATTTTATAAACATTTTGATTTTTGTAAATATTTTTTTTTTTAAGAAAATAATTTATCATTATATTATCTATTATTTTTCTGCGAATCCATGTACTTCTTGCATACACCAGAATTGTAATAATATTGATTAACAAATACATTATTTTATATCCTTCTAGGTTTTTATAAAAATGAATCGTTAGATATTTAGAGTAATCCACATACAGTTAAAATTGGCTTTACAATCAATTTTTTTTCAAAAAAATGTTATTGTAAATCAAATTAATAATATTTAGTAATTGATGAATTTAATCCAAGTAATTACGAGTATAATAATTATTTTTTTTTACAGAATATTGAAAAAAACATTTATATTTTTAAAGACATGAAACATCATGTATTTGTTATTTTTAAAGAATATTTAGAAAATTTAATGCCTTTTTTAAACAACACAAAAACATCATATTTTAAGGATTTTAAGAGACTATAAATCTGACCTCTAATTATTATTAATTTTATAACTTGTTATATATTGTAAAGTCAATAGGTATAGTAAAATAAATATTAACAGACTACCATAAATAATAAAATTGTAAATATATTTACTGCTATATTTGATTATATCAATGTGAAGTTGTTATGATTGTTATAAGCATACTTGTTATGTGTCTCACTAAACCATATTTACTTTAAGTGTTAAAAAAATCTTTACAACCTATGTTGTAACTTTGGTACAGTTTTTTACTAAATATATTGATTTATGCTTTTGATTTAAATTAACAAATGAATCTTACCACTTTTTCTCGAAAGTCTTATATTTTGAGATGTGTAGAATATTATAAATTGTTACTGTTGAATATTTTATTATTATTACTATAGCTATAGCATTTTTTATGTCTTAGAATGTTTGGTCGTTTTTTGGATGGAGGATTGATCTCAAATAATCCTACTTTGGATACATTAACTGAAATTGAAGAATACAATTTGGCATTATATAAGACAAACAGAACTCATGAAATGATTGATCCAACTGTTGTAGTATCTGTTGGAACTGGATGTATTCCTGTGACTGAAGTAAAAGTTGTATTATAGCATACAGAGAATATAAACTATTTTACCTATAAAATAAAAGGCTATATAATTATCTTCTCAATTTTTCATTGCATAATAATAATTGGTTATGATCTTTATTTTAGATGAAAAACTTGGACATTTTTAAACCAAGTAGCGTGAGCGATGGTTTTCGCTTAGTATTTGGGTTTTCAGCTTTAGGCTTATTGCTTATTGACCAAGCAACTCAGTCAGATGGCCGTGTTGTAGATAGAGCGAGATCATGGTGTTACAAAACAAAAACAGCATTTTTTAGGTAATTTTTTTTATTAGCTTTTTATTCCAAAAGTATTGGTCGTAAATCTATTATTGCCATTTTAGGTTTTGCCCACAAATGTCAGAAGATGTAGCTATGGACGAAAAAGATGATGTCAAACTAGTCAAAATTCTATGGGAAACTAAAGTCGATATGGTGAGAAATAATGGGAAAGTGAGCAAGCTGGCACAACTACTGAAATGATCTGTAGAAAAAAATGCATAACTTTAGTTGATCATGAATGTAATAATATCATATTGTTTATTATTACATATTTTTTAAATTTCTGTTAGTTACATTATGTAGTACACTATTATACCCATCTTCTTCTTCAGCTTATTGGTCTTTAAAAGACATTATACACATACAAATAAATATAATATATATTGCTTTATATTCATAGAAATATAATTATACATCTATCTATAACTAAAATTTGTTATACATTATAATTTATACCAGTGCAAATTATTATTTACTAAAGGATTACATTATTACACTTGTGCTTTGTCTTAAAATCTATGGTAACACTAATATACATTGTTTAATGACAGTATAATATATATATATGCTTATAAATATATATATATATATGTATAAGATTTAGGATTGTTTTTAAAATAAATATTGACACTTGATACAAATTCAGTAGAAACTATTATATATTGTTAATAATGATAACAGTAAAATATTATGTAATAATAAAATCGTTAAGGCAGTATCGCATCAATTTTTGGCGCAAAATGTAATAATAATTCTTTGTTTATTCACTAAATGGTGTGCTGAAATTCCTATTGGATATTATAATATAATATTTTATAACATAAACTTTGGTCTAAATTCAATAGGACGATTCGCTGAAAATCACCTAAAAATATTATACTATATACGTGTAAATATATTGTTTTGGACTTGAATTACATTATATAGAAATCCAAAAAAACCAATCGGTTAGTTAAGTAGATTAAGTGATTCGAGAAAAGAGTTTTTAATCCGATCAGCCTGTGCACACCACATATACCTACATGCATCATTCGGATTCATTCCTTTGTCGCTGTAACACCGTAATCGTCTCAACATGATGTTAGTTAACACATGCCTTGAAAAACGACGACATGTGCGCGTTTGATCCCAAGACGAAAATGAATGTGGTTCAATGCACAACGCGAAAAACGGCTACTCGGACGCGTTCAATAACGACCGATCAATGGTAAGTATATCATAATAACACGGAATGTTTACGATTTGTATAAGGCACCTACGTTTGGACAGAATGTCGTGTAACGGACGTGTACACGTTTAAAAATAGAAAATGAACTAAAACTGTGTAATACAAGAGAACTTGAGCAAGAGAGGGCTTCTCATCGTTTCAAACGCACGTCTCTCGGTCGACCACGTCAACAGTGTCGACCGAGGATTGTTGTCAGGACGAGGCGATGGTGGAACACGACCGGGTGTTCTCGGCGGCCGGCTCGGTCTCAGGGTCGTACTGTTTGTAGTCGGGATCTCTGCGGCAGTAGATGCACGCGAGCACCGCGAACACGACGCCGGCCAGCCCGAGGCCGACCACCGGCAGCCCGTACGACCTGAGCACCTTGAACGACGGCCACTTGGCGTGGCAGTTGAGGTCGGCCTCGTCAACGCCGGACGGGCAGTTGCGGTGGCCGTCGCACCACAGCGTGGCGCTAATGCACGCGTTCAGCTCCGGGCAGCCGTATGCGCACCCGAACCGGCTGGACTGGTTGTGAAACGATTGCGACGGTGGCGCGGGTGACGCATAATGTGCCTTGGTCGACGGTTTGGACACTTCCAGCCATTTGAAGGCCATCGAGCCGGGCTCCTGGGCCACGAACTCCACCAGAAAACTGGGGTTCTGGCGGTCCGCGGGCACGTAACTGGCCCACTCGTCCGAGAACATGTGTATGTTGCGCCGATTGTCGCGCGTGCCCGTCGGACAGATGTGCCGGATCAGCCGGACGGCCCGCGGCCGTAGCGCGTATAGCAGTATGCGGTTCCGCGTCTTGCACGAGGCCACGGACGTGTTGAGCGGCAGGAAGTGGCCCCACGTCTGCACGAACATGCTGTGGTCCGGTTGCGCCTCGAGCAGCCACGGGTGTCCGTGGCAGTACAGGTCGTCGCGGGCCTGCGGCGGGTACGCGAGTTCGATCTCGCCGCCGGACCCGCGGACCCACTGTTTGCGCGGGCACGGCGGCGACCGGAGCACGCGCACGTGCGCGTTAAAGTACGCGTTGGTGAAGTCCTCGGCGATGCCGAGCGCTGGCACACGGAACCGAATCTCCACGCGGTCGGACGACGGGTCGAACGTCACATGGTGCGAGCCGAGCGCGGCCTCCGTGAAGTTCTGGCAGAAGCAGCCGCGCTCCATGCGCACGCCGCGCCAGTACACCTCGGTCACCGTCAACCTGGGACCGTCGCCAGCATCATCACCGCCGCTGCCGCCGCCGTCGTCCACGTTACTGTCGTCCGGCGGGCACGCGTACCTGCCCGTCACCGTCTTGGCCATCATAGGCGTGCACTCCCGCGACCCGAACGAAGCGTTCCGCATGACGATCTGCATCCGGTACCCGGGCTCGGCTTGCAGCCGGTACACGCAGTCCAGGTTCTTGGCACCGCCCCGGCCGTACAGGAACACGTTCCGTGGCTCCGTGATGTCCATCGACTGGCGCACCGTGTACTCGATCACGCACGACCCGTCGTCATTTTCGTGGTCGTACACGCCGCTGTCCACAAACTCGTAATGAAGCCTGAAGCTGTACGGTTCCAGTACGGTGCCAAGCACCGAGTGCACCTGCAGTATAACGCTGGCCGACTTGGACAAATAGCTTTCGTCCAACGTGCACGGTCGTTTGGGTGCTGCCACTGTCGTGGTGGTGTTGGACGTAGCCGCAGCGACGGCCGTCGACGATGCGCCCGTCGCGATGTGCTCGCACAGCCTGGGCGTGTCGCAGTGGTCGCCGAGCAGCGTGCCCGCCCCGTCCCATATGCGCAACCGGGTCGGGCACGGTTTGAACGTCAGGAAGTGGCCGGTACTGCGGTGCCCGTAGCTCTCGAAGTACATCCACACCCGGTCGTCCGGCTGCCCCTGGAACTTGTACGTGCACGTGCTGTTCGGCGGCACAGTGTGTTGCGGGTTCACCAGCACGCCGCGCCTAGACTTTGCCACGGCGACCGCGGGCGAGCCAATGATGAACTCGCACGCGGCCGTCCTCTTGACGTAGTCCAGCGAGTCCGAGTCGACGAACGCTATCTGCAGGTCGAGCTCGAAGCTGCGCAGCCGCGACACGGGCGTGGGCGACGAAAACGTGGCCGGCGAGTTGTGCTCCCACGACTTGAACACCACCAGCATGGACGGTCCGCTGGCCACGACGCGCGGCAGAGCGGGTCCGCCGCAGAACCGCAACAGTACCGGATCGCTCTCGTCCGGCCCGTCGTGGAACACCAGCCGGTCCTCGTTCTCGCTGCACATGTCGTTCACGCGTATGATGGCCGTGCCGTTGGACCTGCTACCCGCCGTCTTGCCGCCCGGGCCGCCCGCCTTGGCCGACGACGGCCGCACGCCGTTGCCCGGTCGCTGGCTCAGCGCCACCATCGCGTGCTTGCACTTGGGCACCACCTTCTGCCGCACCGTGTATCGACACGTCACGTTCCTCGGGTATATTCCCGGGTAGTTGGGCGACTGCAGCGAGCACCGTTTCCGGTAGCACTCGTAGAAGTTCCGGCTGCAGTGCGTGCCCGGCACCAGTTCACCGCGATCCTTGGGCTCCGCCGCCGTGCCCAGCCGCACGGACGCGTGCCGGTTGTCCATGAACCGGAACCGCAGGTCGAATGTGAACGGCAACGTGGTGTACAGCCCGCTGTACGGTATCCGCAGCGTCAGCGTCACCGTGCCCGTCTCGCTGTAGTACACGGCGGGCGCGCTGCCGTCCACCGGTCCCGCGCCGCACCACGAGCCGCCCACGTACGGTCGACCAAGTTCGAGTATTTGCATTTCACCGCCGATGCACTCGCCCAAGTACAGTGTGCCCACACGGAACTCCTCAAAAATGAGCTGAAAAAAAAAAACAAAAATAATTTTTAAATTCAATTCGTCGGGCGGTCCGCGTACTATTATCCTGGTACGTGCACGTGATCGGTCTACCTGTAACGTCTAAGGTTGGAAACATTTTGTGATTTGAGACAAATTATCGGTCCCGTCGCATCTTAGTACGACTCACGGGTCGTTCAAACGCAACACATGTTGGCAAAAACCCTTGCTATAGACCCAACAAAATGGTTTACTACGATCAATACTTTTTAATGATATTTTATCAAAAGGAAAGGGGCTGAAGCTCCTCGAAATTTCAGGAAAAGTTGATATATATCTTAATTTGGAAAATATTAATTGCGTAGGCACTCAATATGCTGTAGATAATACGTTTTGTGATAAAGTTTGGTTATAATTCATAATCAAATCTTACAAAAAAACGTAATCTATTATTTTATTACTTTTTTTTCATTTTAATAATTTTACCATTTCATCGTGTTTTTCGTAATGTGATATTATGTAATCAATCAGCCCTCTTCTACCAAAAAAAAAAAAAAATAAATAAATAAATAAAAAATTCCTAGGTACACTACTATTGTGCTACGATGCTAGTACAGCTGGAGTTATGATATTTTATAACATGTGCAATACGATAAAAACGACAAGCTGCGATTACATTTTACGAGATTTTTATTCAAATTTACCCGTACAGACAGAAACCTATACGCGGACTGAGCCTCGAGATAGACTGTCCGCAATAAACATTTATTCTCGGTAACGATTACGTATTTTAATGGTTAACCTTTTTTCCCCTACGTTGTAAAATCCATCTCCCATTGGATCATTCCGTGCAGCGGTATAAGCCGTATGTCATAACGATCTAAAATCTTGCAAGAATATAATTATTTGTTTAAAATAACAAAAAAGAGAAATCATTAAAAGTGTGCGTTTATTTTTTATTTTTTCATAAATAATTGTTTACAAAGTCTCGGAATTTGAGTCGTATTATATTACTCGTATATAACTACTGCTATACAAAATTCGAACCGAGGCGGTAATAAAAGCCGTTTAGATTAATTATTTACGACGTTTATTTGAGTAAATAAGGACCAAAATAATAACGGGACCTGATAAATAATAAATTCAGGAATATTATACTGTAGGACCGTTTGCTCCCGACTTGGCTAGAACATTAAATCGTTAAAATTTAAAACGACATAAAGTTGGTCAGAGTCAAGTATATAGGTTAAATATTTCAGTCTTTTTCAAGTTGTTCAGTCATCCGATGCCGTAGAATAACAATTCAGATCATAAAAAAATCGGATCAATAAATTATTTCTCTCCGTCTTAAGTAATAATTATGCGTATCGATGATACGCAGTTTTGTGAAATATGAATTTTGGAACTATCTGGTGCATGTGTTTTATGAACTTTTTGACTATGACGGACAATATTTTATCTTTGGAAAATGCCGAACGGTCAATTATTGCGAACATAACATCTCTAGGAAGTTGGAAAATGAAAACCTATTGTTGAGTGTAGAGTGTATAACTATTAAACTGCTACTGTTATCGTGTTACGTTTTGAAACGATAATTTTATTGTTGCATTCAAAAGACCACTTGGAACGGAGCTCGGCTTACACGACATTAATTTCGTTTTCCAAACCAATAAATAAAATGCGCGCATTAATGTAAAATGAACTCCGAGTTCAATTTTAATAACAAAACGTTCAAATGAGGTAGGTTGGTGTTTATTTTATTTTATTTTTTCACTGGCTGCTTTTGTTTTATTAATTTTTTTTCATTCGATTTAATCGCCGCACGTTTTGGTGAACTCGTTGATTGAGAATGTGTTCGAAACGAAAAATTCATTCCAAAAATCCGTAAAAGTTTGCACGCGCGTAATCCGCACAAGTGAGACGATCATGAGCGTGGAATATTTTCATCCGTACAATGTACCTACGTAACTTATGTCACATTTTAAACTTTATGATGAACGTCGGCGGACTACGGTGTTCAAGAGTATTGTTTGAAAAATATCTCTTATCCGATCTCAACCGCCCATAGTGTATAGAAAGCGTAATTACAACGCGAAACTTTTGCCGGACTGCTGAGAAGTGAAAAATAAACGCCCAGATTGAGGCGGTACGGGCGAGCGTGACTACTCGGTTTACGGTATCCATTCGGCGAAAATTCAGATTGCGACTGAAATTATACATGTTTAATACAATACTCGTTTGTGTAACTGAAGCACCCGTTGTTATAATTCACGTGTTGTACACACAAAACAGATTCGTTTGGTTAATGAAAAATGCTTTATCGAATGTGAATTTATTTTCGGTATTAACAATCATGCGAATTGCAACGTAATCGTTTTTACTGTAAATATTTGGTGTGTAAACTTCCGTTCGTACCTAATTATTAAAGTGTTCTTGGCACTTATTGAGAATTAAAAACAAAAAAAATTTCTTAATTTAAAAAAAAAAATGCAGATGTGTAGTACTTTTATATAAAATGTTCCAAACTCCAAAATGTTTCTCAAATAATAAATTAAATGTTTACAAGAAATATGTAAAACTTTTTCCTAACATCTAATAGCATTGATTAAATATGTATATTTAATCGATGCTAATAGGTACCGTGCGCTCTACCGCTTATTATACGCTATTTTACCGTTAATTAAAACGAACAGTAATTTTAATTCTAATTACGGTTGTAATATATAATTTTGCTTTTCATTAAATACGGTTTTAATAAAGCAAAAATTTTTGTTAGATTAAAGTAACTAAATATTTATGACATTTTCAATTAGTTTTATCTAACGTGACCGTTTTCCAATGTAAATAAAAAGTTAGAAAATAAACTTTACCGAAACATTACCAAATTATATTATTCGGTGTCAAGCATTATGTTATTAAATGTTTTTAATACATCACTAAATTATTATACAAAAAGTAACAATAATTTTTTAAGTATAATTTTCCAGTTTTAGTTTGGGTTTAATATTCACTGAGCAATCAAAATTAACTAAAGAATACGTATAAATACTTAAAATATATAAGCGTTAAGATGAACATTACTCAGTGATCGAATGAAACATAATACGCCTACTCACTTCTAATAATAATTAAAAATTAATTAAAGTAAATGTATTTTAACTAATAGTTTTAAATTGTCTTATAAATCTAGCTATAAAGTTGATTCAATATTTATACTAGACACATTAAATAAGAGAAAATACATCACACTTTCGTACTGAAAACTAAAATCTGTTTATAATTAGGGAGAAATTTAAAACTTAATGAAGACTACGACATTGATCATTCTTAGGAGTACTTAACTTAATTTTAAGATGGTAAATGTAGGTACTGATACATCTGGATTTAAATTTAAAATATGATTTTTTTATTATTTTTACTAACAACGTTTTTTTCCATTCAAAGTATATGCTCAATTATTCTTTCTACTCAATGGAATCTATATGCTTTGTTTATAAATATATAATTGTTTAACTGTCTATATGGTTAGTATATTTAATGTGTATTATGCAAATGTATATTTATTATCAATTCACTCATAATTTAGAAGGTATTAACATTTTTTCGAGTAATAAAATGCATTTACATTTTATGTTTATTATAAATAGACTACAGTTAGTTTTAAAACTTTGGGTGAAACGATTCAAATAAAGTGATTCACCCATGAATAATTATTAAATCTGTAAGTACTTATTTCATATTTTTATATATTATTATATTACATAATGATTCTAATTTTTATTACGATAATTTGTTTATAACTTGATTTAATTTTGAAAGAACTCTGAGAAAAAATTGATTAAAAATATTAGGTACTTTAAATTCTGGCAGATATTTTTTTATAATTCAAAGTAAGTTATCGTTATTACTTTGGAAATTTTAAATTATTTATTCGAACACTACTAGTCTTTTAAATTATGATGAGATATTAAAGAAGTTTCGTTTTCAACTTCACCATACTTACATAAGTAAATTACATTTATTCTCTACTATTGAAGTAATTGTATTTTACGTTTATAATGGGTTTTAAAATAAAACGTGCTTTCAATCAAGTTTTTCGAATAATAAATGTTTAAGACAAAATTGATTAACATTGAACAACTATCATTCTGTATATTATCTGATGATTTCTTTCTTTATTTTGTTATCAATATTTTTACTACACAATCTATAATATTTATTTTATAATAAGCATAAGTGAGGTAGAGATGATGCAATCGTTGAAAATTGTTGAGTGAAGGAGCCATCCATTAATGGTACATCGATGTGTTAAGATGGTTTTAATCACTCAGCTAGTAGTTTACGATACCATTTACATTTAAGTCGCCTTCTAGGGTCATCGGGAATGGTAGGAGTTAATTGGTCGGTAATGAGAGGGTTTGGCTGATTTTGTAAACGGGAGTGAAATCTTTTTTAGGAAGTTTCAGCGACTTTTTGAATAAAAGGGATAGAGATCTTGGTGGATTGAGTGATTAAAGACATAAAAGGCACTATGAAGATTTGGTGAAAACATATAAATTAAACATTTTGAATACGATTTAGATTTGAAGGTTCGGCTGAGCCCTAAAGTTGGATACCGTAGGTCCATAGATATGGGTTTGAATAATAATTTGTATAGCAGGATTTTGTTGTTTAATTTGAGGTGCTTTGAGGTTAGTAGAAGTCTAAGTTTTCGGAATCTGTTGTTCAGGGTTGTGCATTTCTAATATGGGTTGCTTAAGTAAGTCGGTGGTCAAGGTACAAGCCAAGGTAACGAACATTATGAATATATGGAAGTGGGATGTTGTTTAAGTATATAGGGGGGGCAGTCTTTATGTCTGAGTGTAAATGTACAGTTTTGTGATTTAGATTGATTGATTTTGATCTCCCAGTATTTGTACCAGGTTTCTAAGAGATGTAGATGCTGTTAGATTAGATCGGAGGCCATGACGGGATCTGATTGAAGATCTATGATCGCTTTATCGTCGGCAAAGTCAGCCATAATA